AGCGTTTCAGATATCCAGAGCATTCCCAAAGTACTAGCCAAACAAGGCTAATGTCAGAGAGCCAACCGAGCCTTGACAGATCACTCTTGCATTGCCAGACTAATAGGGAAGTGGTAGTGTAAGAGTTTAGTGAAAGAAGTTGATAATGCATTATAGACAAATATGAGGTTATATAGTACCCTACAGGCTGACATAATCGCAAATATTTCAGTCTGAAAAACACTACAGTGATTGGGTGAGAGATACTTATACTAGCTTCTTCACAAAAGACACTAGAACCAACACCGCAGTTGATTTTAGAACCGTAAGATCCTGTAAAAATTATGTCAAAGTCCGTATGTGGGGGTAATATAGTCGGATGGTTGGATCCAGATTGAGGGCAGTAGGCTTAAAATCATAGCATGTCCGTATGTTCTTGATATTCACCTTCCGGATGGATTAAGCCTCGCTGCGTTGCAAGTCGATATGGCCTTTATATGAAGATCTATAGGTAGGATATGTAATACAGTGTTCAGAGCTTTTGAAGAACTAGTTCTTAGAGCACCTTCTATTCCAATGCATGCTGTTCTCTGAACTTTGTATAATTGGACTACATCAATTATTAAATTTCGTGAGAAGGTTTTATAAATGTTCAACTCTTATAGATAACGTAGTCTATTTAGCAATGGCCATCTGTCTGTGTCGATTGTTTACAAATAGAATTGTCAACTTCCCTTCTCTCTAATTCCAACCTTCTAAATTATGATAAAAGTCACCCTAATATAAATGTTTATGGGTGTAATTTTTTTATTTAAAACACGATATTACTCAATTGCATTCAATCTACACATTAATTTTAACCAATTTAATTATGTTTATAAAATATTTAGAGGTTCGTGTATAGTGGTGATTTTAAGCGTTAGAACGTCATAAACATAGGCACGTAGCCGGCTATTTTGAAGTTGATAAAAGTGTAAAATAATTTTTATATTTACAATCTGACAGTTATAACACAGTATTTACACTAAGAGAAATTTTAAGCTGATTAAAAAGATAAAGTAAATTTCATTAAAATTGTTCTTCTTCAGAATGTTTTTTTTTTTTTTTTTTTTTTTTTTTTGCAAAAATTTGGTTTCGAAAATAGATTTTATGTTTTTATAAGAATAATACTATATATTCTAAATGTTTTCTTTATTTTCATTTTATGGCTTAACAAGTTATTGCCCTAAGCTTACTCCTAGTTACTTTTATTATAACATGAAAATGCGCATTTTATACGATTTGGTTGATAGATTATAACACATATTTGATAAAAATACATTATAGAATTTAACAAACAAATATTATGCATATTTAAACAAAAATTAAGAATGTTATTGTATATTTATCTTTATTATATATTTGTTTATTTGTACATATTTTCGAATCAAAAAACAAGTACATTGAACTTTGAAAATTTCTTTTATGATTGAGGAATATGCATCCATTGAAACGTTTTTAAAACGATAAAATAAAATTTCACATAAAATCTCTTGTAAACATACATTATTTCCTTAAAAAGATTATTTTTTAACATTAATTCTTTAAAATATTAAATAAAAATATATATTTTCTCTTCCAACAAAAGAAATGTCAATATAGTAATTGCTTTTTTAAGACCTTATTTTGATTGATTTTTTGTCTAGCGTACAAAGTCTTCTTTTAGCTATCAAATCTCGCATAGAGACAAACTCTCAGACTTAGAAAAAATAATTTCATAATGTTTACATTTATTTTTATTTATTTGTTTTTTTTTTTTTTAAGTACAACTATTGTTGTCTACCAATGTTCAAACATTTTAATAGTGACTAACAAAATGTTGATTATTATTTTGACTGTTCAGTTCAGCGAATATTTGTTGATTCATTTTTAAAAGGTGGGAAAATATCAACAAAAAATTTGAATGTCAAACTATGAACCGGAATTTTAAAGTAAAAATATATGAACAGATATGCTGAATTGTAATTACGTAAAGAGGGTAAAAATTTGCTAATCGAGTAGATAGATTTTGAATGCTGTTTAAGTAATTAGTGTGATAATTATCCAAAATTCTTAGATATTGATTTTTGAAATGTATATTCAATTATCTTTCCATAGAGATTTTTTTTAAAGATCTAGAATGCAAAATTTTTGCATATTTCCGAATATTTGGTCAAAAAAGAACGAAATATTTAGTTTGAATCGTTAATAAGTTTTGAATCAAAATATACAAAAATCGTTGTTCCGATATTGCACATGGATGTAGGGTCTAAATGAAGGGAACTTATAAGGCTGAAATTAATCACAAGTATAAGAAAAGAAGTAAAACTGTACGACTATGCCGAATATTATATACCGATATTTCGATGAGCTTTACAAATGTAATAAACTTTTTTTGAAACTAATTTGAATCAAAACTAATGTGAAGATGTTAAAACAAAATCGATCGATATAGATTCGACACGAACAAGTTTTCTATGAACCAAAATTCTCGGTCCAAATTTCATAATGACTTCAACAAAAATACATTTTTATAAGACATTAATGACTCTCTGGATTTCTGTAAAATAATCTACATTAAAACTAGATTTTCGGAAAAGGGCCTTTTAAAGAACTTTATATTGTTTTAACTTCTTCAAGTCCATTCCATTCGTAAAATTAATCGAAATATCAGTCGTTGCTTGATATTCAAAATGTACAATATGGGTTCCCGATTTCCACAAACCGCCATACAAAAGTCCATCCAGAATACAGTTTGAAGATTCATAAATTTATTTAGAAGCTAGTTCTAAGTTATCCGAAATTACTTAGCAGGAGACCTAACCAGGGTGGCTGAATGTCAATGCAGCCTGTCTGTATATCTTTTTATAAGAACGATATGTATATCTGACCAGCGTTTTTGGACTGGACGATATCAGGCATCGACCGGGTTAAATGTCTATGTGCTATACTTGATAGGAAACTATAATAGAAGATGGAACCAACAAAACACATCGATGTTGGGCGCTATATAGGAGATTCATGAGCTCAAAATGGGATCGAATTGGTTTAATTACTAAATCTAACGTACGATCGTACATGTTGCTTGGATATAAGTCGATCAAAACTCTGAAAACATGGCCTGATATCTTTCCAAACATATATAAGATAAGATGCGACATGTATTCCGACATGCTGGACGGTTATGCTCAAACACCAAATGCCCCGCTACTATCTGTTGTTTCTCTAACCTCGAATGGGTCTGGGGATTAACATTGAAAACCCGGAAACCGAGATATACTACTATCTTCCTAATACTGGATATGTTGAACGGTTACACACAGAATCCAGACGTGAGCGAGCTCATAACGTAAACAGAAATTTGCGAAAACTGTGATCCCAGATAGGAAATCGTGTTGAAGCATAAAATTAGAGCAAACCTCTGCGAGAATTTCTTTTTACAGGGATTTCTCCAAATAAGGAGATATAGAAGATCGTGTTCAGGCGGAACATTAGAACATGTATTCGGACATGCTGGACGATTATACACAAACACCAAATGCACTGCTGTTACCTGTTGTTTCTCTAACCTCGAATGGGTCTGGGGATTTACATTGAAAACTCGGAAACCGAGATATACTATTATCTTTCTAATACTGGAGATGTTGGACGGTTTCACATAGAATACAGACGTGAGCGCGCTCACACCGGAAACAGAAATTGGCGGAAACTGTGATCCCAGAAAATTAGAACAAAACCTTGGGGGAATCTTTTTTTAAAAGGATGGCTCCAATTAAGAAGATATAGAAGATCGATTTTTATATATTAATATCCAGACCCATTTTGTCTCCCAGTTTTTAGCCATCTATGTAGTAGTAGTAAATTTTACATCATATGTCTAATACTGGAGATGTTGGACGGTTTCACACAGAATACAGATTTGAGCGCGGTCACACCGGAAACAGAAATTGGCGGAAACAAAACCTTGAGGGAATCTTTTTTAAAAGTATGGCTCCAATTAAGAAGATATAGAAGATCGATTTTTATATATTAATATCCAGACCCATTTTGTCTCCCAGTTTTTAGCCATCTATGTAGTAGTAGTAAGTTTTACATCATATGTCTACTAGGCCAATTGCGGATAGTCTGCAATGAAAGAGCTGAAAAAGGTAGACAGCAGAACGAGAAGCCTCCTAATTATGAATAAAAGATCTTAGTGGTGGTTTAAGGGCACAACTATACAAGATATATTGTAGAGATGTTATTCCATACTTTAAATCCCTAAGGTACACAGATTGGAAAATTCTAAGAAACTACTGCGGGAAAACTGAGTTTCTGAACATTGGACGATAATTCCACAAATATTTTTAATGGAAAGGATCGGCTTCTGTTTAGACTTTCAGATGATTTAACAGATTTCACAAATAAAGGTGTCTTAGCGCTGTTTTAACATTCCAAATCTGGCCAAAAACTGGCTCGAAAAACTGATGTGATAGATAAATTCTCAGGCCAGATTCTCATTGCTTTAGAAAAGTATAATTTGGTCCCACGTTAATGGGTTAAATTCTAAGATTTTAACTCAAATGTTTACAGTTGTATTTTTATATTTTTGTCACACTACTGGCACTTTTCGAAAGTTGAAAAAAAGTAATAACAAAAATATTTTACATGCTTAAGCAGGTAACCGAATCAACACTTGAATCGAATAATTTGGAACACTTCACTAAAGAAACATACTTTAAGGCAATATTTTCTTATTTGTTTTTTATTATTTTTTTTTTTATAAACACATGTTTGGCTATTACACTTTTTTATTTAAATTTCTTTCAAATATTATGATTATTTTAACACATAGTGTTTTTTAAAAACAAATTTATAGCTTTTTTGTTTATATACAATTTGGAAACTTTTTTAAAACAAACTACAAAAAAACATAGAGAAAAAATAAAAATAAATACAAGTAAAAAAGTAAACAAATTGTTTAATAAGAAAAAATGTAAGTAAAATGACAATAATATACAAACACTTTTGTTATAAACGAAATCGAATCCAATTTATTTGTTACTCAATTATATTTTTGTTTGAAATTGTTGCTGTCGTAAATGTTGCAGCACACTTCTGTTATCATGACACAAAGAAAGTGAAGCACGCGATAAATTTATATGTTTATTTTTTATTGATTTATTTTTTTTTAGTTTTATTTAAGAAAAAACTTGTTGCTTTCTTTAATAGAATTTTATTTTTTATTAAACACAATAACCACATGCATCACATACACTTTTGTATTCAAATGAAAAATCTCTCTACAATCCGGTAAAAGAAAGAAATTAATAAAAAATTTATTTATATATGGTTTATAAAACCATATAAAAACTGTCTCACTTTGTGTGGTAACGGGAGGGAGGAGGCAAGCTATCGACTTGGTATGATCTTAACCGATCAACGCGTTGAAAACAACTAAATATTCAACTGGGTTTTTTTTAATAAAATTTACTTTATACTTTGTCGTTTTTCAATATATTATGTGTTCCTCTCTCTCTTTCTGTCGTTTTATATTTGTAGGATCTCTCTTAATTGATAATTATATTTTTTTGTTATATTTCTAGATTTTCTACATTGTATTTGTTTATTTTTTTTCCAAATTATTTTTTTCTTCTATATAATTCGTTTAAGAAATGATGATAAAAATTCATTTATTGTTGATTTTTTTTTCTTGAGTTATCGCTGATCTTGATGTTGTGGACTCTTAAATTTAATTTTATTATGATTTTTGTTGTCATACCTTGTCTTGTGTTTGAATTTCTTACTGGAACTGCATTGCATTATTTGGTCTCTTTCTCTCTTTATGCTGTCCGTTTCTCTTTTCTTTAAAGATCTCCAAAACATCACGTAATAGGTCTAATTTATTTTTCGAATAATAAGTAACCGAATCAATTTTTTATTTAGGAATTTTATTTATGAACGGGTTCTCCGGAACTTGATGAAATAATTCCATATAGAATTAATAGACTAGTCCATAAACTTGTGCATATTCTTGTATAGACTAATCCATTGACTAGCCCATATACTAGTCCATAGACTAGTCCATCGAATAGACCATTGACTAGTCCATAAACTAGACCATAGAATATTCTATAAACTAGACTAATCAGCCCATAAACTAGCCCGTAGAATAGTCTATAAACTAGTGTATAAATCAGTTCACAGATTAGGCCATAGACTAGACCCTAGGCTACTCCATAAAGTAGTATAGTCGATAAACTAGTCCACAAATTAGGCCATATACTAGATCATATGCTAGTCCATATAAGAGTCCTTACACTAGTCTATAGAATAAGTAGTACATATACTAATACATAGTATAGTCCATAGACCAGTCCATATAGTACAAGTCGATAGACTACTCCATAGAATAGTCCATAGAGTAGCCCATAGATTAGTTCATAGACTAGCTCATAGACTAGCCTATAGAATAGTCTATAAACTAGTCCATAGACCAGTCCACAGATTAGGTCATGTTCTAGACCATAGGGGAGTCAATAAAGTAGTCCATCTACTAGTTCTTAGTCTAGTCCATAGACTTGTCCATATATTAGTCCACAGGCTAATCCATTGACTAGTTCATAGAATAGTCTATAGACTAGCTCACAGTGTAGTCCACAGACTAGTCCATAGACCAGTCCATATACTAATCTATATTCTAGTACATATACTAGTTCATAGAATAGCTTATAGACTAACCCATAGACTGCGTCCTAGAATAGCCTATGGACTAGTCCATAGACCAGACTTGGGCATAGACTAGTCTATGCAATGGGGTCAAAATAAAGCGATCTAGAAAGTTGAAATTTAAATCAGTAATATTTGAATCGATATTTAAAACCACTGTACCTAAGTATTATCTTAAAATATATTTGTATGATTCAACGAATACGCCTTCTAAACCCACCCATATACATATATATTTCTCGTTTTCCTTAAAGTATGAATACGTTTTCTTTCTTCCAAACAATAAATTTTGTACCAGATAATTATCGTTTTGCGTCACTAATTCATGAGCGTTTAATTGATAAGTTTCCTAAGAGAGTGAGAGAGTATATTTTTTCAATAAAAATGTACATCAAGATCAAGAATTTACCGGTCGCTGATTATGTTTTGTTGATGCATTTATTGTAAAATCTCTCTCACCACTAAACCATTTTCTATAGGCTTCCAATAAGAAAAGAATATATGATAAGTATATGTAAGTACATGTGCACTTGAAAGGGGTCATTGCATGGGGGAGTTTGCTTCTTAGATAAAGTGGAAAAAAATCCAATTAGTCTAAAAAAAATGTAAAAAAGATACAAACTAAAAAAAAGAGAAAACAAGTTTATTGTAATTTGACAGATTTTAGAGCATATGTTTGGAAAAAGATATTGTTGCATCATCTTACAACGTGGAGTACACTTGTTATATTTAGATATTTACTTTTTAAGAGATTTAATTTTCTAAATTCTCATTAAAACTTCAATTTTGTTGTAAAATTTTGCAGTGACTTTCAAACTTAAATATCTTTAATAATAAAACCTAAAAGTATGCTATTATAGCTTATTGTCGATACATTTGTATCTAAAAACTATAAATTTTAAACTTGTAGATACACAAAAAAATTAACACGCTGTGGAACATTCACTAAATGATATACATATGTAAGTCAAATGTAAAATATTTTAAGTTCACATCTGTCAAATATTAGACGAAATTATGTGACAACTACAATGAAGTTATTATCAATCAGTATAATATGATAGACAAAAGACTGATTGTAATAAATAGTTTATGAAAATTAAACAAATTGTTTGAGAGAGAACTAAACCTTAAGGAACCCAGGAATTGAAGACTTAGTCGTTGGAACTAATTCCATTTTTACTTCTGTATGTATGTAAGTACTAGGGTGATCGATTATTCGACATTTTCCAAAAACCGGTTTTCGAATAGTTCGAATAGTTGACATTTCAAAAAAACCGGTTGATATTTTTCAAATTCAGAAAAAACCGGTTAACCGGTTTTTCATAACAATTAAAAAAATATATGTTAATTTGAAGAAATTAATGTTTATGATTAAATTTGATTAATAAAACATGGCCCGAAATGATTTTTAACAGTTTAACAGATTATAACTTTAGATCTAGTCGTCTGATTTACATTATTTCTTTAATATAAAAAAAAATTAGGAAAAAAGTGGACACTTCTGTTAAACATAAGGTACTATGTAATCCTAGCTTATTCTAAAGCCCTTTTAGGAAATTTTCATAGGCATTCCAACACTTCCATAATATTTCAGCGGTAAATTAATTATTGTAATTGGAATATAATCTTAAGATTAATAAAATTTTATTAAACAGTTATCAATTTTACAAATAAAAATATATCCTAGTTCCTGGACTCGAATATTTTTAAACGGGCTGTATTATTTACTTCAAAATTTCATTTAAATAATCTTTGAATACAAAGCAAATAAAAGTATTCGAAACCGGTTTTTAAAAAGTGAAAAAACCGGGTTATTCGATATTCGAAAAATCAACATTTAGAAAAAACCGACACTGGTAAAGCAGAAAAAACCGGTTTTAAAACCGGTTGAAAAATCGAGTCGATCACCCTAGTAAGTACATTTACGGTAAGAGTTTGAGGTGTAAAGAGGAAATTTGTTTTTTCAAACTAGATTATTTCGGCACAATTCATCCCTGTCAGGAAATTCTTCTTTTAAACGTCGTATACAATCTTCTCCTCCACATTTTCATAGGTGTGGAATTGAGGTGCCAGTGATTTTCGAATTTTTTCTATAAAACATCCGAAACTTATTCGAGGCATCAAGTATTCTGGAAGTAATTTCGAAGATTAGACTTAAGGTTTTCGCCAATTTTTATTTTAGCATAATTAATCCTTTTGGAAAGATCGGACAAAATTGCTATTTAGTAGTTATTCAGGTTTAAAAAGTTCCTACTTTTTAAATTGGTTAAATTTATAGACTAGACTATAGACTAAACTATAGACTAGACTATAGACTAGACTATAGACTAGACTATAGACTAGACTATAGACTAGACTATAGACTAGACTATAGACTAGACTATAGACTAGACTATATACTAGACTATAGACTAGACTATAGACTAGACTATAGACTAGACTATAGACTAGACTATAGACTAGACTATAGACTAGACTAGACTATAGACTAGACTATAGACTAGACTATAGACTAGACTATAGACTAGACTATAGACTAGACTATAGACTAGACTATAGACTAGACTATAGACTAGACTAGACTATAGACTAGACTATAGACTAGACTATAGACTAGACTATAGACTAGACTATAGACTAGACTATAGACTAGACTATAGACTAGACTATAGACTAGACTATAGACTAGACTAGACTAGACTAGACTATAGACTAGACTATAGACTAGACTATAGACTAGACTATAGACTAGACTATAGACTAGACTATAGACTAGACTATAGACTAGACTATAGACTAGACTATAGACTAGACTATAGACTAGACTATAGACTAGACTATAGACTAGACTATAGACTAGACTATAGACTAGACTATAGACTAGACTATAGACTAGACTATAGACTAGACTATAGACTAGACTATAGACTAGACTATAGACTAGACTATAGACTAGACTATAGACTAGACTATAGACTAGACTATAGACTAGACTATAGACTAGACTATAGACTAGACTATAGACTAGACTATAGACTAGACTATAGACTAGACTATAGACTAGACTATAGACTAGACTATAGACTAGACTATAGACTAGACTATAGACTAGACTATAGACTAGACTATAGACTAGACTATAGACTAGACTATAGACTAGACTATAGACTAGACTATAGACTAGACTATAGACTAGACTATAGACTAGACTATAGACTATAGACTAGACTATAGACTAGACTATAGACTAGACTATAGACTAGACTATAGACTAGACTATAGACTAGACTATAGACTAGACTATAGACTAGACTATAGACTAGACTATAGACTAGACTATAGACTAGACTATAGACTAGACTATAGACTAGACTATAGACTAGACTATAGACTAGACTATAGACTAGACTATAGACTAGACTATAGACTAGACTATAGACTAGACTATAGACTAGACTTTAGACTAGACTATAGACTAGACTATAGACTAGACTATAGACTAGACTATAGACTAGACTATAGACTAGACTATAGACTAGACTATAGACTAGACTATAGACTAGACTATAGGCTAGACTATAAACTAGGCTATAGACTAGACTATAGACTGGACTATAGACTAGACTATAGACTAGACTATAGACTAGACTATAGACTAGACTATAGACTAGACTATAGACTAGACTATAGACTAGACTATAGACTAGACTATAGACTAGACTAGAGACTAGAGACTACAGACTAGAGACTATAGACTAGAGACTATAGACTAGAGACTATAGACTAGAGACTATAGACTAGAGACTATAGACTATAGACTAGAGACTATGGACTAGAGACTATATACTAGAGACTATAGACTAGAGACTAGAGACTATAGACTAGAGACTATAGACTAGAGACTATATACTAGAGACTATATACTAGAGACTAGAGACTATAGACTGGAGACTATAGACTAGAGGCTATAGACTATAGACTAGATACTACACACTAGAGACTATAGACTAGAGACTATAGACTAGAGACTAGAGACTATAGACTAGAGACTATAGACTAGAGACTATAGACTAGAGGCTATAGACTAGAAACTAGAGACTATAGACTGGAGACTATAGACTAGAGGCTATAGACTATAGACTAGATACTACACACTAGAGACTATAGACTATAGACTAGAGACTATAGACTAGAGACTATAGACTAGAGACTACAGACTAGAGACTATAGACTAGATACTAAAGACTAGATACTATAGACTATAGATTAGAGACTATAGACTAGAGGTTATAGACTATAGACTAGATACTACACACTAGAGACTATAGACTAGAGACTATAGACTAGAGACTATAGACTAGATACTATAGATTAGAGACTAGATACTACACACTAGAGACTATAGAGTAGAGACTATCTATAGACCAGAGACTATAGATTAGGGACTATTGACCAGAGACTATAAAGTAGAGACTATAGACTAGAGACAATAGACTACAGACAATAGACTAGAAACTATAAGACTATAGATTAGACTATAGACTACACTAGACTATAGACTAAACTATAGACTAACTATAGACCATACTATAGACTAGTCTATAGTGTATCTTTAGATTAGGAAAATCGCCAATTGGCAACCATGAGTTCAGGCTTATTAAGTTCTCTCCCTCTCTCTCCTGTTTTTCGTCAACCTATTATTGTCCCGATCTAAATACATATGTGGCGACTGATAAACCCTTCTAAATTACCCAATAAAAGACATTTTCTTTAAAAATTTTTATTTAATAAATAATTTTTATTCAATAATTTACACTTAAATTCTAAAATAAATAAACAATCACAAAAATAAACGTGATGGTATTTTAACTTAAATTTAAACGACTCTTCAGAGGATTTTTCTGCATCTGTTACTACTTGATTTCTCTTGCAAAATAAAGCTGTTTTATATACAATTACAACAATACAAAAAATAAATTATAAAAAAAAAATACTACAACTTGTGCAAAAAGAAATAAAAAAGATTTCAAAGATATTTTAAGATTTGGTATAGAACAGTATAAAAAAATACTTTTAAACTATAGATTATTAACTTTAAAAATAAAACTAAAAATAGTTGTTTTCGTTTTCGCCAAAAATTTTACAAGTTTAGTGTTACGCTTTTTTAGCCTGGGGTTGTTGTTGTTGTCGTGGTTGATTTCTAGCCAAATCGGATAAAGCGTCTTCATCATCGCCATCAACTAAAGAGGAAAGATCATCAAAGTCATCTTCTACACTGCTGCTAACTAGGGAATCAATACGTTTTATGAGATTGTGCGGTTTATTGGAGGAATTTACAGCTGTAGGCTTTTGACCCTCAACTTCCTCCTCATCTTCATCTTCGTATTCATCATCGAAATTAAAAGTCGACAAATCATCTTCATCATCAATTTGTTCTAAGAAATCTCCGAAATTGGCATCATCTTTAAGGTTTATTCTCGATTCGGGTAATTGATCGTAGTCAAAAACTTGTCGAGTTTCACGTGGTATATACTCGGTAGTCATTTGGAAATAGTTATCATCTACATAATCCTCATAGTCTTCTGCTTTTATCGCTTCCAATTTTGTGCTAACTCTGGCCTCGATTTGTTGAGGACTGCTGGGTTTCATTGCTATAGGCTTTAGTTTGGTTGTGCTATCCTTAATTTCCATTTTAGGAGCGTTATCAGCTATGGGTTCTTCTTTAAAAATGCTATCAAGAGAAGAGTCTAAAAAGCTTAAAAGTCCTTGCATACCCGTGGGAGGTTCGTTAATTAAGGTTTGACTGGGTTTTTGTGGAGCTTCTAAAGCATTGGGATTTGTAAGTTTGGCAGACATTTTTAACTCGTTCTTAGCGGAATTTTTGACTTCTTTGCTGTCGATTTTTTCAAATTTAGGTTTTGCTGGGATGGCCGTAGTTGTAAGGCTTATTTTGGGAGCAGGTTTGGTTGTTGTAGGTTTGGTAGTTGTGGTTGTTGTAGATGTTATTACTTTCTTAGGTGTTGGTTTTGTAGTTGTTGTGGTTTTGACGGTAGTTTTAGGCTTTACGGTAGTAGTGGTAGTAGTTTTCATTGCAGGTTGCTTGGTGGTAGTTTTTGTGGCGGTAGGTGGTTTTGTGGTTGTAGCTTTCGCAACGGCTGCTTTAGCAGTTGTAGCTTTTGTAGCCGATGGTTTTGCAGTGGTAGCTTTTGTGGCGGCAGGTTTTGCAGTTGTAGCTTTTGTTACTGCTGGTTTTGTGGTTGTTGGTTTTGTAGCTGATGTCTCCATAGGCTTCGTGGTTTTTGTATGCAAATGTTTAACTTGGAAAGTTTCTGGTGTACCCCGCTTTTCATTGGGATCAGCCTTTCTTACCACTGGTTCACGTTTCGGTATAACGGGTACAATTTTCGGTTTATGAGGATCTAATTCATCTTTACCATAAGTTTTGACCTTCGAATGACCCTCAATAATCAAATACATGGGTCCGCGTAGTGGTTTCTCCGGTTGATTGTAATGCGAGAACAATGAGTCGGTAGTCATTTTAACGGGTGCCACAGTTGGACGATAAGCTAAATTACTGGTGTTCGGTATTAATAATCTGGTTGGACTTAAAGTGGTAGTAGTACGGGGAGCATGGGTAGTTGTATACGTTGATGGAGTTGAACTGTACATGGGAGAGGGAGGTGTAGTTGTAGTAGTTTGTTTTTGGGTAGTACTGGTTATATAAACAGTTTGGGTAGTGCTAGTGGTGCTAGGCATAGTAGGTGTTACAAATGTTACTGGAGCATAGGTAGTGCTAATACCTTGTGGTCGCATAACCGGTTCGAAATGCTGCTGTGGCTCCATATGTGAAGATTTAATAGTTTCCACATGATATGAATTGGGGTTCTGTGTAGGTTTTACGGGTTTGATGAATTCTTTTTGTAATAAATCGTGTATCCAAGGTTTCCTAGAGCTAGACAACGTTGATTTATGATGACCACTAGAGGCACCTCTAATCGAATTGGGAGAATAGATTTCATGATGTCCCATGCTGGCAATATTCATGCCCAACATAATGGAGGGTGTACTCGTTAGACTAGGGCGAGTGTGATAGGTTACATAGTTGACAGACTCTTGATGGTGAGAATCATGTGTCTGGGGATGTGAATAACGATGAGAATTGCCAGACATCATTAAGGGAGAATGGCCGGAAGAAGACGAAGTGGATGCCCCACCCTTGGAAGCTGAACTAGTGGTATGCATCCAAGGTTGTGTGGCAGTAGACATATAATAGGGTTTTGAATGAACACTCATAGAGCTCATGGGAGATGAGGTCATATAAGAATGTCCCGGCATATTATGACGATATTCCGAATGAGCTGGTTTTACCATATGCATTGCTGATACTTGATGATGCTGGGAATGTGACTGTGCCGCAGATTGTGACTGCTGTTGTTGCGATTGATGTTGCTGCATTTGAGAAGATGATGGTAACTGATTTTGCTGTGTAGCTGGTTGCATTGGTTGCATGGGTGGTGGCATCAAATGGGTGGGCAATTGATGAGCATAATATGAGCGTCTTATCGAAGTGTATTTTGGTTGTAACAATGGCGTTTCACCCTTAGCATTCTTTAACACATGCGGTACATGTTGCTGCACCGGTGCCCCACCACGCATTCTATCGCCTGTAACACCCAATAATAAGATTTCGTTTTTACCCGGATTTGCCTTTTTTAGCTTTGCATCTACTAAGGCTGCTGATACCTCTTCCGTTTTGTCTTTTTCCTTATCCGAATCAGCCCAGTATCTAACACGATCCAGGGTGGGAGGACTATAATCAAATGTAGGATCATTTTTCAAGGGATCTCCACGTCCTACTGGACGCCATTCATTGTTGTTGTAGTCCATGCGTGGCGAAAAGTTGCGCACTGTAAAGAGTTTTGAAGAAAATAATGCAATTTAAAAAATATTTTCCAAAATATTGTATTGAGTATAGATGTACAATTATTGGACATGTGTTTTACAATGATTATTACATGATTGTTATAATTGCCATCAAATTTACATTGGTGGCCTATAGCAAAATCTTGATTGTATGGCAGATGAAACTAGTATGAAAGTAAAGTCTTGGTAAAGTACGACTATATGATAGCCTACAGTGGTATAAAGATTTAGGTCCTACATCGGAGCTAAGGCCAATTACGCAACATTCATTTAGTCATCGAACACGGTGCAGAGTCTTAATCATCCAACTAAGCACTACCAGTGTCTGCTTTACTGATACATTGACTTAGTAGTATTTGTTCGCTATTTCAAGGGCATGTAGTCTTTCTCATAGTGTTCGATTCGATTTTTATATTTCGAATTTTTGTGGATCAATTTCTAAAAATCGATGATGGGTGTGATTCATAGTGATCGGTATCCTGGTCAGCGTCTGACTTTAGATGAGTAGCACTCTTTCTTACCTAAAGCTGAGGTATAAACTGTTTACCTCCATCCTATCTTTATGGAAATGGTAGGAGAAAAGCGGTCATATGCCTTTTTCTAGGGTGGAGGTGGTAGGGAGGTTAGTTAAACGAAGGTCTCATGTCTGAATACTAGTGAAGCTACTGAGACCACTACTAACCAGACAGACACTCTTGGTTCGATAGTCAGCCAGACTGACATGGCAGGACAACTTAGATTTGGAACTTAGGTATGCAAGGATCAAACCTCTATGAAAACGAAAAAGAGTTGTTGAATGTGGAAAACTGAACGAAATAGATGGGCGACGTATAAACACGTCTTTTTTAGACGTTGAAACTACTGTGACTAACACTAACCAGACGGACACCCCGGGTTAGGTAATCTGCACTGTAATCCGGTTAGCCAAACTGTCAAGCCATGAGTCCTGACTTGCCATTGCTCCGCCGATGAGTTGTTCATGAACTCTAATCCGCTAAATGTGGAAAATCCTAATCGCAAAAGGGCGGAGAACTGCACAAGAAAGACTGGTGAACTACAAGAGATGAAGCTATATTAACGATAACCAGAGGGACAGCCTGGGTTTGATAGTCGGCAATGTTACCGGGGTTGTCAGACTGGCTAGACAGAACACCATATATTTAAGCCTAAAATTACTACAGACAGAAGGTTATTTTTGGAAGAGAAGATCGTAGAGTATGAGTATAAAATACTGAACATTACACTTGTGGAAGTCAAGTCGACCTCGAGAATGACCGATCATGTGATTGATATCGTTAACTAGCTTGACATCAGCACCCCTAAACCTGATACAAGTTTCAATCATAGACCGAAGTCAACTTGAGGATAAAATAACTACGGAAATATGTTTCTTTTTTGGTGGAAAAGATCCTTCATTTGTAAGTGATTTTCGGAAGTAAGCTTCAACCATTTTGTAAAGATCGGTTCACAACTGATCATAGTTATAATTAAGACCATTTCGGGGCCGGTTATCACAAGCTTCGCTAAGGTATTTTCAAAGTTTCGACTTGATATTTGACGGAAGAACATAACCTGAATCTGAAACGATACTTTTTAAGCTGGGTGTAAGACCAATAATTCTATGCGTTACCAACATCAGGACGAAACGTATTTAATTGTTGTAGGGTATATTAAAACTTTGTAATTCATTTAAGTTTTTTTTTTTTAATTTCTTCTCCTATTACCACTAGACTGTCTAAGCTGGTGTTATGCTGCTGTGTTGTGTCGTGCTAAATCAGTTGTATAAGTGGCATGATATGTGCACCTTCTTGCAACTGGTGTACAGTGTTTTTTTCTGTATCTTAAATCATAACTTGTTAAAGTGTTAACAAATGTTTGCCACAACCTGGGCATAGACAACACCACCACCGCCGACACTACTCATATGACCACCATCACCTAAAATCGTCACCAACCACCTTCACGTATGTATGTTTTTTTTTTCAACTTTTTGTAGCAAGTAGTCAGTCAGTCACTCACTTACTTACTCAGATGCTAGTAGTAGTTATATGATTGTGACTATGACTACTTTACCATCAAGTCGTCTACGATTGTCTAAATAAAATCTATCTAGTCTGCACAGTTAACACAGTTAACTCAAGTATCTGTGTATGTATGTTGTTGTTGCTTGTAGTGCTATAAAAAAAAACTACTGTTGTTGGCTTCTGTATGAGTGAACACCAACCACTATGATGTCTGGCCATAGTCTGAGGAGTGTCTGGTTTTCAGACAAATTATACTGATTTAATAGTTGCTTGAATATTTAGACATTTTTAAGATTACAAGAGCAAAATTTTCGTTAACAACTTTGCTCCATTTAGAGAGTAATTTGATCATATAATTGTAGCCTTGAGCAAAGGATTTTTTTTATTTAATTTTCAGTTGTTATTGTAATTGTTGTAAATTAAACAGTGTTAATGTAAAATGCAATTTTAGAAGACAGGTTGTGTTAAATAATTTTGGTTTTTGTATGAAAGTTTATAAAAGGTCATGGTGGGTTTGGTATTCAAATATTCTCCTAAACGGAGAAATTGTTATATAGAAAGATCTAGATGAAGTTTTTCGTAATGTAATCTTGATCATTAGTTTTTCGAAAAGAAACTTAGTGACTAAGTGAAGAGTTTCTAAACAGGAAATTTATCGATTGTCTTATCCAAGAGCAATCTTTAATGTTGAGCCTTTCGATCAATGGTTTCAAATTGAAACTGGATCATTATTTTGGATTTCTTAATTGTTGGAAGCTTAACTTTAGCAAACTTCAATGTTGAGCCATTCGATCAATGGTTTCAAATTGAAACTGGATCATTGTTTTGGATTTCTTCATTGTTGCTAGCTTAACTTTAGTAATCTTCAATGTTAAGCCATTCGATCAAGGTTTTCAAGTTAAATCTGAATTATTATTTTGGCCTTCTTTAACGGTTAAGCAAATTAATCGCTAGATGAAGCTTTCATAAGCAGAAACTTTAAAATTGATCGAACTGTATCACTTTCTCTGACTTTCTTCAAGTCGATCTTTAGCTGAAACTTGATCAGTAGATCTAATCGCTAGAACAAGCATTCCAAAACGATTGCAAGGTGAAGCTTTACTAAATGCAAACTTTATTATTAGTTTCAGCGTTTTCCAATATAAAAGCAGTGGGTCACTGGATCAATATTTTCAAATAGAAACTGTATAATTTGCTTTAAATTTCATTGCATGATCGCTAACTTAAACTTTCCTAAAGGCTAAAAGCTTTACCGAACAAAAACTCGATCATTAGTTTAAACGTTTTTCATTGTTATCAAAACTTTCTAAACTGGAACTACGTCACTAGCTCCGATCTTCTTCAAGATTAAGTTATAACCGAACTTAATTGGAAATGTATCACCAGCTTTGATCTTCTCCAAAGTTAAATCGATCATTTCCTCTAACATTAATAAACAACCAAACCGAACATGTTTTTAAATATCATTAGATCAAGCTTGAGCTACTGGCATCCACAGGAAATGGCTTTCTTTAAGGTCACTTGATCGTTAGTTGAAACTTTTATAAGCGGAAACTTTAAAAAGCTCTACCGAAGAAATACTCGATCATTACATTTAGGGCCGTTGTCTCAACCTCCGGTTATCGTTTAACCAGTAGATCATTTTTGTATAAAAACTGTCAATCTATCGTTTCGATAAAATATAACTAGACAATGAGAAAATGGGTACACATTTTGTTTCAATATCAATAATATATTTTCTTAACAGAAACTGTGCCACTATCTCTGACCTTCACGAATCGATCGTTAGCTCTAACTTTTCAATGCGAAAACATTATGGTTAATCAATGGCGAATGATGAACTTTATTTTTCTTTGTTTAAAGTTTAGAAAATCGATCGTTTCTTATTCTCAACCTTTAGTAAATGAAAAATTAAAACTTTATAAGTACATAATTGTACGATCAAAGATTTCAACATTTTCTCAACATCTCACGATCAAAAATTTTAAGATTTTTTTAACAGAAAAATTTTCAGCTCAGGATTTTCTTAATAAAATGTCGATCACTGATCTCTAGCTGATTATTTTCTCTGCAAGACTTTCTCAACTGGAAAACCTCGATCAGAAGTGTAATATTTTCTTCAAAACACAATTCTAATCAATAGCACACGATTTTCTGAGGAAACTCGATCGCTAGATCAAAATTTTCTAATCAAGAAAATCTTAGTCTTTACTTCAAGATCTTCTAAACAGAAAGATCGTGATCATTATTTTCTCCTAAAATATACAGACGCTCATCAATCTTTCTTAAGATTATCTTATAAGGAAAATCACTATCAAAATTTTCTAAAACGATAAATCTCATACGATATTTGAAGCTTATTTACACAGACGAATCTCGAGCATTAGATCTAGATGTTTAAAACAAACAACTCGCAATGGCTAATTAAAAATTTCCAAAATAGAAAAATCTTTCGATCGATAAGGTTTTCTCGAGTAAAATGATCATGAAAAGAACTCTATCTGAAACTGAAGATATTCGTTCGTTAGCTTTTTGTTTAAACCATTTGACACAATTGCTTTTCAAATTGTGTTATAAGTATTTCTTTCATTATTCTCAAACTTTTTAATATTTTATACACTGTGCAACGTTTAAAACTCTTTAAATCATAGAAAAAATTACAACAACTATACATAAAGTTGATAAATTATTCGCTACCAAAACCAGACAAATCGCTTTCCATTTTAATATTAAACGATTGGGTAAGATGACAATGATGATGGAAGCAACTTTGTCACACATAATTGCAGAGAATTCAATTTGAAAAATAAAAAAATAAATTTGATTTCTTATATTTTACAGAAATTCTATTATAATATTTATTTTGTAATGCTAAATAATGATAAATTAATCGATCGTATCGATCTTAAAAAGTATTGGAAAGCAATACGCTAAAGTCTCACGATCAGAAGGCTTGAGAA